AGTGTTAATGTGTGGCTCTTACGAGAATGAAACCCAGCTCTGATGATGGACGAAAGCTCAGCACTTTTTCACCCGAAACGAGGGAGAATTACTCGTGGACTGCGTCAACATGAAAATAATATAAAAGCTAAATGGCTGCAGTACAACGATTTTCATCCATCCTCATCTGGTGAGATCGAAAAAACGAATATCTTCTTCATGTACTTTCATTTGAAATGAAGGTCCCCCTAACCATATTTACTACTTTTCTTTACCTCCTCACGCATTCTGTCAAATAAGCTAATTAATTTAATGAATATCTCCACAGGTTGGCTTCCCTCATTTGAAGATGACTTTCCAATAAAAAAATTACACACTATCCTCTACCGTTTAATAACATACTCTCTACTACTGCTACTACTACTACTACTTAATTACTACTAGGCAAAGTGAGAACAGGAATGAACAAAACGATATCACAGAGAAGACAACACTCATGCCGTTGTGCACAAGACGACAGAATGACTGAAGAGACGACGGAATGTCCGGTCCTTCGGACTGGAATGGCACCAACCCAAATGGAGAGGCTGTATCCGAAACAGTTCAACCAGCGTATTGGTTTCGTGGACCGTCAGTTCCTCCTCCGTCGAGCCTTCGATGCGTGAAGAGGAGAAGGAAGAGGAGGAAGAGGCGGAGGAGGAGAGGGAAAGAGGAGAAACGACGACTTCCGGCAACGGTGGCGGTGGCGGCGACGCCAAGCCGCCGTCAAGCCGTAGCGACGCGAAGATGGTGCGTCGACGTCGGTGCGAGGGTGTGTTGCGGATTCGTCGAGCCCGACGTCGCAGAACCGAGACTCGGGGTCGGGCGAACCAGCGTTGCCGGGGCACGATAATCGGACCGCAAACCGCCCTCCATCCGCCGCCCTGCGCACCCTCGAGTCCCGCGGGCCGGGTCTTGTCGTCGGCCTCCACCGCCTCGCAGGTGCCGCTTGGCGCCGGTCCGTCCGAGACCCAAGCTCGAATCGCGCCGGAGCTCGGCGTTTTTGCGAGGCCGTCTTGCCACTGCGGCCAGGCGGCATAAAAGAGCTGCACCAGCCAATCGGGCGCGCCCGGGACCGGATCGTGTCGGGCGAGAGCATCGTCGGCACGGCCTGGCGAGACGTGACGCGGGGCTCGAACTCGCGACTCTTTCGGACCCTCAGACCGGGTTGGGCCAAAGCCGGTGTCTGCCGCGACGGCGACCAATCGGCTCATCGCCACCGGAGGCCGACTTCTGATTGGCCCGACAGCCGGGCCGGGTCTGGCGGGACTCGAGGCAAGGCCGACAGGCGGTCTCGACAGCCAATTGGCCGAATGCACGAACTGATGATGGGAGACTCGATTGCGCGGCGCCACCACCAACGCGACCACCAGCACCGACTCAAACCTCGTGGCGACAACGTCGTTTCGGTTGGCCGAAGCCGGCTGGCTCATCTGGCGCTGGGACGGCGTGGCGAGGCTGGCTACCGTCAAGAAGCGTGGCAACAGCGAGTGTTGCTGAGGGCTGGGGAGGACATCGAGTCCGGCCGCCATCGGGGCTCCAAGAGCCGAGGAGTCGAGGAGGACCGGAGGCAACGGGACTAAGGCTTGGCCTTCCGCTTGCGGCGGGAAGGGAAGATGAGACCGATTAGAAAGAGGCCGGCAACACGACAATTTTTCCACATGACAGAATGGACAACGTGTCAGAACATCTCACTCTCTACCACCGTTCTTCACATTTAACGTATTTGCTGAGCTATTCATTTCAATGGCCTCTTTTGTAGTTCTTTTAAACACACACGTACCGTTATCAGTTTGAGAACATTTGATTTCATGTCTAGTTCTACCAGATGTTCGGTCACTTCTGACCGTTGGTTCTGGCATTTTTGTGTTCTACCAATCTTTGTCGAATAGGTCGGCATGTCTCACCAACACAACATCGAGCACATGAGCAA